CTCCGGTTTCTTTCCACCCGCCGGGAGCCGGGGGGAGGGGCGCTCGGGTCCCGCCGGGCCGGGGCTTGTATCTTACCCCCTTTGCAAGGCGCTGGGTTCTTGCAGGTGTGGATGTTGTCTGGATGTTGTCCTGTGTCCTGTGGTCTCTATTTTAGGAAGATTTTTCTTTGTTATATTTTCATAGCTCTATGTGTTTTGGGGAGGAGATATCCACTCCTCAACTCACGCCGCCATCCTGGCTCCACCCCCCCGAACTGACTGAGATTTTAATTGAAAACATATGTCCCCCTATGGCAGGAATGCAGATACTAGGGCACATTCTCTGGGATTAAATATAGCCCTTAACACTCACATGCACATCCACTGTCATATATGCTATGTAAAATGTTATTTTTATCAATCCTATAATAGAGAAATAATATCAATAAAATAACATGATCAAGGATGCAAACACCATTCATCTGTCACAGACCAGAATAACATCACTTTAATTTGCCACGAGGGTTAGTGGTCTCCTTGATAAAATTGAGAAAGACACTTTTAATATGTTTTGGTGTCAAAAGCAAAAGTGCTAGTCATTCTCTTTAGTCCCGACACCTTTATTAGGTAACCTTGGCCCAAACCCAGCTTTTCCACCATACCCTGTGTTCAGTTTCTGCCCTACCCTGTCCCATGGCCTGCTCCTAGCTCAAGCCTGCTGACCAAACTTGAAGCTTATTTGGGCCTATGTTAGAAATCAAACACTACCTTCTTTCCCCAGCAGCACCATCATTGGGTTATGTTGAAAGATTTCTAATATGCTTCTCATCAACCTAATCTCACCCCCTCTGTACCTTCCAGAAGTTCCTCAAACAGTTTTGTCTACCACCAGCACTTTTCTTCACCAGTTCTCCAGGGCTGCTATGGATTCATCCTTATTTTTACATGTCATTTCAGTGAGACTTTGGAAGGAAAGGACCATAATCTCTCCTTACTATAATTTTGTTAGAAAAACTTTCTGAATTTTTTTTCCTAGAATTAATATGCATGATTAGTGCAATAGAGATATAAGGAGAATTTGGAAAATAAGGAAATACGTCTATTACTATGGATTGGCACTCTAGCTTAATGATGCTCATCTTGAAGTATGGTATTTCCTGGCATGACAATTAGATCTCTGGGGGGAAAAAATGTAAAAATGCATTGGTCCTTGACTAACTAAGCTTTCACTGAATTGTTTTAGGTAAAAAATTAGAAGGATCTAACAAGTCTTGGCTCATAAATTGTCATTCTGTACATCTCTCTAGAGATTTTAATCCAAATTAAAACAAATAGCCTGAAGGATGGCTATATCTATAGGCATAAGGGCAGTTTATGACCAAACAAATTTATAAACATTATCTTATTTACATGTTGCTTTCTTTGTTGTTAAGTTTCTTTGTCTTAACAACACCACAATGTGGTACAAAGTTATTTAATTTATAGTCTTGACCTATATGTTTGCAACAAGAAAGTTTGCTTCCTAATTCCATAATAGCCACACTGCTTGTACAGGCAGACAAATATAAATTAATGGGGTCATGAAGAGGTGGCTCTCAACAGAAACTAACAGGAAGTGAATGACAGAAATAATATTGTATGTATCTGCAAGATTTTCTGATCTTTTATCCTAACAGTTCAAAGTCCTTGTCATCACTGGAAGCCGCTGTCTTAGCTGCAAGTGTTAGCACTACACAAAAGTAAGTCCTCACATAATTTCTGTGGCTCACTTTGCTTTTAAGACTCTCTTGCTTACAGCTTTGCCTACAGCAGTTTACATACCCAGCTCTTAAGAAAAGTGGATTGCAGTAGCTTAGTTTTACAACTAAATGACAGGTCTCCCTTATTTGGGACCCTAAAATACTATTTAATGTTTCTACGATTTTTGAGCAATTAAGGGAATAAATAAGGATTCAGGAGCATTATCTGTTACAATATTCTTTAAAAACCAAGTTTAGAGGTTGTGGAATTAAAAAATGAAATAGAATTTGAAGATAGGGTGCAAACAGGAAGCACTAAATACATGAAACAGGTATTTTAACAGAATTAAACTATAAAAACTGACCCTACAATTCTGGAAATAAGTATTCAAGAACTAATTCAAAGAGAAGCTTATTCGGCTATTCAGCTTTGTAATTTAAAGTACACGAGTTCTTCATTTTTTGATGTACCTTAGGCACACAGAACTCATTTTTCTCACACATACTCAATATAGACAATGACTTACTCTCATAGTTCACTTTTAAGGAATTTCTCTTCTGATTGTTACTATCACTTATATTTTTTGTCTCTTCCACAGTAATGGAAAACTGCTAACAGTTTATATACCAACTTGATGTCATATGAATATCTAGCTACAGTCCCTAGCATTAAATTGTTTTTATTTTCAGAAATGATATACTATATGCTTTATATTTACTGAAAAACTAAGACCATAGCCATTAACCATTAAAAACACTTCACATTTCAAAACTTTTACTGGTATAAATTCTGTACCTCTAATGAGTTATCTCACTACATTAAAATATTCAAAATGTCATGACTATTGGCACTCATTTATAACCTAAAATACTCTTGTTCCTATTACTTAGGACTTTATTCCTTTGCTTGGCATTAGAAGTTCCTTATGATCTGGGGCTTTTCTTACTCAACAAATTTCCTTTTTATGACTCTATAGCATGAACCTACCATTACAAATCAAGATAATATTTCCACAATTTCACAAATACATCCTGCTGTTTACTATCATCATTCTTTTATTCATATTGTTCCTCAAAATGTAACATTCCCACCTCTTGCCATCTTTCTAAATTGTATTATTAGCACTCAAAAGATAATGACTACATAATTATTTAATTACACAGAAAGGAAAATTAGGGATATACCTCACATCAAAAAATATCAGATATTAAAAAGTTAGTGTAAAAATGAAAATATAACCCAGAAGAAAATACATGTAAATATATTTCAACACAGAATAAAGTCTAAGTATAAAGTGGAAGAAATTATAAAGAAATGATCACCAGACTTCATAAAAACTTTCATATGTTAAAAATAACTATTGAGCAACTGAAATGACAATAAACTGAATTTCTATATAAGAAACTGTATAGGAAGACATCCTTTTTAGCTCCCTTCTCCAAAGATTTCAGAGAACACCTGTTTTATATACAGAAAAACAAAAATGTTACAAATATCCATGTTTCCAAAAGGGACTTTCTGCAGGCTTATTTTTAGGATTTCTGCTTGTTTTTACTGCTTAATTCTAGTCCCACCCACGATGTATTTTAAATGCATGGCCTTTATCTTTGTTCAACACATGCTTTTATTGCACTCCAAACACATGCCAGACACTGTACTGGATGCTAAGATTATACTGGTGGGCAAAACAGGCACGGTCCCTTCTGTCACAGAAACTTGCCCAACAGAAGAGAAACATGAGTCAAGTAATCACCTAAATTGTGGTGAAACAAACAAACAAACAAAAACTATAAAGCATCTAACAGCATATAAAAAGGACTTCACCTCTAGGGGATTGGAATATGCATGTGTGTAGGAAGATTTCCCTAAAGAATTCATATCTATATAAAACATGTAAGCTCTTATAACTGCAGGGACCTTATCTTAAATATTTTTGTATCTTTCTGCATCTCACACAGTAAGTCTTCTGTATTTGTTCAGTGATTTATTCTTAAAAGTTGAGGCTTGCCTTATTAACGAGCCTCATTTTTTCAATGCTAGGCATTAAGTCAGCTTTAGGATAGATACTTTAAGACAGTTTAGCAAGTTAGATATTTTTATTTTTGTAAGATTAAACAACTTAAATCTTGTCTAGATCATAAGGTGATTTCATCATCAATATTGTCAAATTTAATGGTGGAATACTATTTAAACATCAAAATAATGACCAACTTATTTATATCTCTTAAAAAGAATTATTTACATAATTCATGTACTAAAATAAAGTTATTATAAAACTACTAGTACACATAGGCTACAAAAATTCTTTTAAAAGCACATATTTTTACACTGTATATCCTGGAAGTTTATTTATTACTAATTCACAAATATCTTTGCATTGCTTGGAAATATTTAGTGAACCAACTTCATCTTCTTCAACCTGATCTGATGTACTACTATCCAAGACATTAAATTCTAGTTCTGACAAAGTAGATGGTAGATAAGAACTTACTTGAGATGTCCAAGGAGACTGGCTATTTTCTAACGATTTGCAACCAGTTCTTGTTTTAAGTTTTACAGAGATACCTTGACCCTTCTTTAAAACTTTAGAATTATGCATTCTATTTTTGATCAATCTGGTTTTCTCTCTCCTCAGTCCAGTGTGATATAAATCAGTGGTAGAGATACTAGATTCTTCCTCCAAACTTTCATCTCGAGTCTTTGAACTCTGAGATTTTTTATATGAGTATACAGGTGAGCACACTGAAAAAGGTGGGTTAAGAACAGAGTTCTTTTCACTGTTATTTTTCTTTATGGAAAATCTTGTTTCACTAGACTTACTTGTACATTGACTATTTTCTGCCCTTGGACCACTACAGTAAGCTTGCAAAATTGTGCTAGTGTCCTCAGTGGTACAGAAATCTTCTGAATAGCAAGGGCTGGTAAAGTCATCTGAATACTTTAGTTTTGAGATGCTTTCAGAGCAGCTATTTTTACTTGGCTTATTTTCACTCACATCAGCCAGAAGAATGTCATTATCAGTGGTTTTAATCTGCTTAACATCTATTTCTTTGTCTACTACAATTCTGTCAACTGCCGCAACCTGGGGGAAAACACATGGCCTTTGGACTTTCATTTCCACTTTTCCTTCCAAAGTCTGTGTAGGAACAAACCTTTCTGGGGCAATGGAATTTGCAAGCCTCACAATTTCTTCTAATGGACCCTTACTGGTTCTATGTTCATCACCATCAACTGCTTTTCCAGTTTTCGGTTTGGTTTCTTTAGCTGTGCTGGGGTCATCAAAAACTCCACTAATTTGCTTTGAGGTATCATTTTCAGCAAAAGATGCATCTGATTCTACATACTTATCTTTAGGCAGTTGATGTGGCTTCTTATGTTGTTCTGCAAAGCTTAATACTTTAATTTTTGATGATGGACTTCTGAGTTTTGCATCCAGTTGTGCTTTCATTTTTCTATACTCTTCTCTCTTTTCATGTACTACCAGCATACCAGGATTTGTTTGCTTTAAACGTAGTTTAAGTGTATTTGTTAAGCCATAAAGTAGCTTTCCCCTGGGAACTCTTTTGGGCCAGGAACCACTGTTCTTTTCAAAATATTTATCTTTCTTAAGACTTTCAGCTTGGTTCCTTTTATCCTGAAGGCCCATTGACTTTTCTTTTTCCCACACAGAAGGCTTTTCCTTCACAGATTCAGACTTACATGTGGATTTGGCAGAAGATTCTGGTGACTTATCCTTAGTTCTATATAACCAGGCTAAGTGAGGATGTATATGAGCAGGGCTTGCAGTGGGTTGGTTGTACAACAAGGACAACTCAACTAACAAAGCATTTAATAAAGGCAGCTGCCTTATTGTATTAATTCTATTTTGTTCAGTTTGAGTGTTATGTGTAGTTTGAGTTCTTGCTCCTACATCCTGAACATATGGAGGATTTATAAGCACTGGAGGACTCTCAGGTGTTGCAGAATTTGTATGTTTCAGAGGATTAGCCTGTAGTGGGGGATTTACAAGTTTTTCTTCTGGAAAAGTACCATCCAGTTCATCAGGTACATCCATCTGAGGCTTAATGGTGATTTTACCCTGTATAGGAGACACCTTTTCTTGGGTCAGATGTGTGTAATACAGAGGAGGAGGACAAAATGTGTTGGTTTCAATGTCCAACTCTGTGACTTCCTGATTGGGGGTGCTGACACTCCTCACACCACTAGCATTTGAACAAACCGAGGTGGTTCTACCGTTCTGCACAGAACATGTGTTATCAGAGTTGCTCTTAGTGTGGAGAGCTATTTCCTTCAAATCCTTCGGAGCCTTTGGGATTTCTAAACCCACCAGAGGCCTATCAGCATCACTTGGGTTTGACTCTGAGATTGACTGCTGCAGCGGTTGCTTTTCCTGTGGGGTTTGGGAACTGATCTCTACTGCCTTCCGCAGCTCTCCACTTTCCACTCCACCTCCTCTGGAGGTGACCGGCCGCTTAAGATGGCCCAGCAAGCTGCTTCCCAGATCAGTCAGGCGGTAGCCCAAGGCAATGTCCCCAATCCGCTCCCCCGCATGGTTATGCAGAGGAAAATTTCCTCGATGACCCTGGCAGCAGGCGGAGGCGGCCGGTCCCAGGGCCTTGCGGACCGCAGCGGCTAGCGAGATGCTGCAGGCACCCAGGAGCTGCGGGGAAGGAGTCGGCTGCCCAGGGGGTAGCTGAAGCAGCAAGGTATAAAGCGGGATCCGAAGGAGCAGGCGGTGCAAGGTAGCGGGGTGCAGGTGGAAGAGACAGCACTTGCCGCGACCAAAGCTGAGCAGGCCGGGCCGGGGTTCCGGAGCCGGGGCGGCAGGGCCGCCAGGAGGGTAAACGAGCAGCGTGGGGAAGTCCAGCAGGCGGAAGGCCACGGCGGGGCACAGGGAGCGCGATGTCCGCGGCGGCGAGGCCTCTACCTCTTCCTGCTCCTCTTCCACTTCGATCACGGGAGGCGGCGGCGGCGGCGGCAGCAACCCGGTTTCCAGTAGCACCCAGTCTACTAGGAGCTCCAGCGAGAAAAACCGCTCGGACAAGGCGGCCGCCATTGCTGTTGCCCCAGGAGACGGTGACGCGGTCTCGGAGAACGGGAAGATGAGCCCTTGGTTCTCGCGATAAACGCGGGGAAAACCGCGCCCGCGCCTGCTCTCCCGCGAGACTTGGGGGCACCCATGCGGGTGTAGGCTGCGTCTTCTGGGAATTGTCGCTTTCCCAGGTATTTTGCTCTCCAGACTTGTATTAATGCAATTGCTTATGATACTACCAAGGGTATGATACAAAAAATAAAAGAGGGATAATTTTTCGGGTTTGGTCACTTTTTTTTTTTTTATCACTGCAGATTCCATGCAATCTGAGGAATATTTAAAGTAAATCCGGACTCTCATTCCAGACCCCAGCCTTCAGAAAGCCAGTTAACTGTCCATGGCCTACCTTCTGTGGCAACCCGTCTATCCAAAAGTCTGAAGCAGCCTAGGAGCCGGAGAGTTAACGGTAGAAGGACTTGTACCACATTTCCAGCTGAGCAATCACCACGTATGAGACTAATGTTAATGATTCCATTCCGCAATATGCACACATAAACACAGGGTTGGGGGAAGGGAGCGGGGCGGAGGATAGCACACAGCGCTGTCCCAGATTTTGAAAGAGACAGGCTTCCTGCCTCAATGGGCTAGCCAGCTAGGTTAAAACCAAAGCTGATTCGCGGAGAGCCTTGAATGCCAATGGTTAGGAATTTGGACTTCATTCTGTGCAAGTTGTTTTGAGTGAATAAGTGTGATCATACCAATGTTTAGTAATGTTAGCAGTACAAATACAAATGAGATATTCTACTATTAATTGAAGTCAGAACAGTCTATTGGAAGGCTAGTGCAGTGGTCTAAGTGAGACAATTAGGGTCTGAACTTGGTCAGGGTTGGTGGAGAAGAAAAAGAAGTAACAGAAGAGGCATTTGTGATAGCAGAATATAGAATTTGGTGACTGGAAAAGAGCAGTTGTGGGTGAAAATTGCTACTGAAAGAGAAAAAATTGAGGAGGAACAGATAGATTTTTTTAAAAAGTTACTCTGGATTTATGGGACATGTAGAGTTTGAGTTGCCTGCCAGACAACACACATTCACACATTATGTGAATATGTTCAACTTTAGAGAACTTTATAAACAGTAAAATTGCAGTGCATTGAAGATCAGACCATCTCGAAGCTCGAAAAATTCAGAAATGGGAGGGCTTGGTGCTTTAGTGTGAAGATGTGAGGGAGGTTTCATTGCAGCATAGAAGGTACTATTGGCTTTGAGAATCTTACTCGCTACCTGCAGAGGAAACATCAAGTAACATTCTTAATAGATGGATGACATTGAGCAATAAAAACATATTCACAGTGAAAAGCAATGAGGTATTGAGTCCATGTGTGCCAGGCAAACACAGTAGGTAAAATTCCTCATAGAAGGCATCCAGCTGGAAGTCTTTTGAGTAAGGCTAATAATGTGGAATATTAGTACTTGCATATCTCCTATATACAGCCAAGGAAACCAATGCCTCTCTTCTATAAGGACGCAGCTTCTGTAAAATGTATAATTTCTGCAGGTATAATAAGTTCTCTGCTCATGTATTAAACATGATTGATATTAATCATATTTTAATAAGAATATTTTAAATGTAAATAATGCTAAATATAACATAAAATTTTGCTATGATAATTAAAACGTTTCCATGTTCATAAACTACACATTCAGAAATAGCACAGTGCAGTGGCCGAGAACCTGGCTTCTGCAGCAAGCTACCTGGGTCAAATCCTGGCTTTGTGACCATGTACCAGTTTCTCAATTTGTGAATCATTTTCCTCATCCAAAAGAGGGGTAGTTATATTATCTACCTCATAAAAATATTATGAGTATCAAGTGAATAAATATTCACAAAATTTTTAAATAGTGCCTGACATAGTAAATACTAGTCCAAATAAATACTATTTATTATTTGCCACAGAGCAGAGTTTTCAGCTGAGTTTTTTAAAGCACTCAGCTATTAGTTAGAATAAATAATTTATCTGATAGGAGCCTGTTAAAGAATATAATTAAAATGTAGAAGATACAATAAACATAATTAAAGAGATTAAATGAGAAATTATTTAAAAGGAAAATGGAGAAAATACAGGAAATGCACTGTGCTGTGTTAAAAACAGAAATGTAAAAAGGCACAGGTAAAGCCCTTTCCCCTTTACCATAGTTAAAAATGCCTTGCAAATGCTAGTCTGGCAGGCTAAGTCTGGGAAGCTTGGCTCTGAGAATTGCTTAAGGGACAGACTGGCATTCCGGATGTTGCCCTCTGGCCCTCAGTTCTCCCCTATTGGCTTTTGAAGGCTTCTGTTTCAGGGTCTAAATACATAATGTATTCTTTTAGTTATTTATTTATTATTCATTTTATTATCATTAATCTACAATTACATGAAGAACATTATGGTTACTAGACTCCCCCCTTCACCAAGTCCCCACCCACAAACCCCATTACAGTCACTGTCCATCGGTGTAGTAAGATGCTGTAGAGTCACTACTTGTCTTCTCTGTGTTGCACATCCCTCCCTATGCACCCCCCCCCAACATTATACATGCTAATCGTAAGACCCCTTTTCTTTTTCCCTGCCCTTATCCCTCCCTTCCCACCCTTCCTGCCCAGTCCCTTTCCCTTTGGTAACCATTAGTCCATTCTTGGATTCTGTGATTCTGCTGCTGTTTTGTTCCTTCAGTTTTTCTTTGTTCTTATACTCCACATTTGAGTGAAATCATTTGGTAATTGTCTTTCTCTGCCTGGCTTATTTCACTGAGCATAATACCCTCTAGCTCCATCCATGCTGTTGCATTGGTAGGATTTGTTTTCTTCTTATGGCTGAATAATATTCCGTTGTGTATATGTACCACATCTTCTTTATCCATTCATCTGTTGATGGATACTTAGGTTGCTTACATAATGTATTCTTGGAGCAAAAAATCTTCTCTTAGGAGAAGTACACTCCCACAATCATTCATTCAGGACCTAAGATAAAAGCCTGAACAGGGAGATGCCCTGTCCCAGGGCCTGATTAGAGGCTTCTGAAATCTAAGCCAGATATCCCCCTCTCCTAAGTGAGTTACAAATGAATTTCACACAACTTTAATGCTATAAAAAAATGGAACTTTGAAAACACCTTGTCATTTTCTGTCAATGGTAAAGAGGACATGACTTTAATCTTCATTGTGTGCAGTGTTTCCTTGTGGATCTGTTTTTCTTTGTTTCTTTTCATCTCCTCTGTGTCTAAATTTCTGGCCAGGGGGAATCATAGCTTTTCCATTATGCCATCTTTTAAGTGAGGGACAGAGTTATGATAGCCATGATTACCACTTTCCATATCATAGACTTGAAATAGCTGCTGTAAATAGTGCAAATAATAGAAAGAAATTCTGTAACCTTGTACCAAGGCTCTGTGTTGCATTTTCAATTTTAATTTTAAACTTACCAGGACTTGATATTGGAAAATCCTTCACTTAAGAAGGACAAAGAGCAAGACTGAGGGTGGGAGGGAAAGGAGCAGGGGTGTTAAAGAGACTAAGTGAAGGCACTAGCAGTCAATAAAGGGAAAGTGGTCAAAGACCCACTCTGATAAACCTCTCTTCCAGAAAGGAATGGGAAAGAAATCATGCAGCATTCTTAAGGCATTGAAAACATGGGTTTATTAAAAAGCCAAATGATACATAAGATGGATAAGAATGGTTTTGAGAGAGTTATGTGACTGTCATTGGCAATTAAAATGTTGGATAGGGAGCTGACACAGGCCTTGATGTCCAGGCGTCTTGGATTAAAATATCAGCTTTTCCACTTCATAAGCATGTAACTGGGACAAATTCACAATCTTTGGGAAGTTTCCTCTCAGAATAGTTCATAGATTCTCAAACTAGTGTACATGTTAAAATGCAGTCTTGGATTCTACTTCCAGACATTTTGGTGTAAATGGTCTGAAGCAGGGTCCAGAGAGTCATTTTTTTAAAATTAATATTCATTTATATTTGTTTACATTGGTGTGGCAACACTAGCAATAATATAAAAATGCTATTTATGGATAGTGCATTAAAATTTACATTCCTATTACTCATCAATAATCATGTTAGAAGAAGGTTAAGGACAAGCTTTCATTAGAGGAGAGATTTTCTAAATCTTTTAAGTTTGCTTTTTTAGTACTGCATAACATCACAGCTATTGTTCTAAAGGAAAAAATATATTTTAAATTAGCATACACATTTTTTGCGTTTTAGCATGGGTTCTAAAAAACAATTAAAATTGAGTATTTGCATATTGTGGGGATTTCCAACTTTACTAATTGGTAATTTTAGTGAAATTTTACATGTCTGTTACAAGTCCAATGATGAATTTTTGAATTCTTCTAGAAAGGTGGAGAAACCCTGCTTTAATATTCTAAGCTGTCACACTGTCTTATTTATTTATTTAAATGATAGAGGCTATAAAATTATAACTCAGAAAGAGGGTTTTTTCACCAAGATGGAAAAATCTTGTCAATTTAGAAGGAAATATTGATTGCTCTATGTAATAAATCTTGAAAGTGAGTGTTGTTCTTAAACACAAAGTGATATTTGGCCTCCCTCATAATTAGAAAAATACAAAGCTGCAATGAGATACCAATTTTAAAAAACTAATCATATTGTCACAAATTTTAAAATGTGATCATATACTGTGTTGTCCTGGGCGAGGAAAGAGACACATTCATGGTGGGAATGTAACTTAGTGCAACCTCTATGGACAGTAAGTTGGAACCATCTATCATCTTTAACCCTGCAATTCCACTTACAGAAAATCTTTCTTACAGATGTGTATTGACACACAAAGAAATGGCACATATACAAGGTTACAGACTGCTGTGCTGTTTGTATTCACAAAAGACCAGAAAAATATCTAAATGTTCATCAATAGAAGACTAGATGAATGCTACATCCTTTCAATTGAATATAATGCAGTTGCTAAAAAGACTAAGAATTCTTAAGATGTATTCAGAATAGTATATAGAACAAACTACTCTTTGTTCCAAAAAAAAAAGAGACAGAGAAACATATCCATATATTCACAAAATATATCTGAAAAGCTACCAAAGAAATGGCAATGACAAGTGGTTGAACTATGAATCCTGAGGACAGGGTGGCAGAGAGACTTAATTTTCACACTATGCCCTTTTGCAAATTTTGAATTTTATATCATATGCATATATACCCACTCAAAAAAATAAACAAAATAATTTAAAAAGAGAAATACTG